CTGCCAGGCGCTCCAGGACTGTGGTGTTTGCTCTGCTGGACATCTCTGGGGAGCAAAGCAGTGTGACCAGCCCCACTGTGCCGCAGCATCCCTGCTCACCCACTGCCTCCTGGGATGCTGAAGGACTTCAGGACTGTGTGGAAAAGATGTGGACAGTGGCCACAAGTTAATAGAACAGGAGCAAAATTAGGTGGATTAGAGAGAGAATCTTGCCCTGGAGTGGCATAACGTTAGCCAAATAAAAAGTGCTTTAAGCTACTTAAAAGGTGCTAAAGTGCAGCCAGTCCAGGGGTTAAGAGCTCCAGAAATTGCCTAAACTTACCATGTAACAAGGCCCTAAGCATGGGCGACTGGTGCCTCCCAAGTCTGGGGGCGGGCACCAGATGGCTGACGGGGTGGGAAAGGGGGTCCGCCAGCAGCCAATGGCCAAGCCAGCTGCAAAACTGGAAGTGCACTTCCGGTGGCACTTCTGGTTTTGCAGGTGGCGCTTCCAGGGGGTGCATGGCTGATTTCAGGGGGTGCACATGCACCCGCGTGCACCCCCTATGTGTCGCCAATGGTCAAGTCACCTTCATAAAGTAAGTGTTTCTGTTCTTTATAGACTTGGTAAGAGTGAGCATGGTTAGCCACCCACAAGTTTGAAGCAGTAACTAAAGGGACAAGAGCCATCACTGCTGATCGCCATGACACACTCCTTCCCAAATCTGTCAACTCCCAAGAACGAATCTCCACTTTTAATAAAAAGATTCAGATCTGAGTCTAGAAGAGAGGCGCAGCAGGGCAGCACTGGCTGCAGTGTTGCTGATGGCGGGTACAGCTATTTTTGTTCTTCCTCCACTAAGAGCAGTGACCCAAGGCTGCTGCCCAGGACCCTCTCGCTCAGGTATATCATTGCTCTACTCTCTCCCCACCATCACCACTCAACAGTCTTGGGGGAGAGTGCAGCCAAACAAAGAAACACCTAGAAAGCCACTCTAGCTAGATTGTTTCAGGGCAGTGGGCAGCCACAATACATGATTTTGCTAGAACTAAGAGCTTTTCTGTTTTAAAGTGGTTCCAGGGGGGGAAAAAAACCCCAAAGCCCAGGCAGAATTTTGTATGAATTTTCCACAATACCTAAAACTTACAGCAGTGATACTGCAGTTTGAGGTACTGGACTGTCATTAGCTAACTACCTCTCTCTAGGGTAGAACATGCTGGTAGTTTCAAGGGCCATTGTGTCATTCTTAGGTGGGCTAGAAGAAACACAGTCCCTCTCCAAAAAAGGCACAGCACTTAAAGGAGATAAAAGGTAAAAGACAAAGGAAGGCAATAAAGAAGACTCCTACTTGCATCGTAAGCAATGAAGAACTGAGGCACATGCAGATGTGTTGGCTTGTTCAGAGCCTGTGGCAAAGCCAGGAACGGGACCCAGACCTAGCACGCCTGAAGCACAAGACCGTCCTGGCCCTATCCCTCTTCTTACAGTTCCAAAGGACTGATTTCCATAAGAAGGAAATACAGGTGTTTCTCATATAAGACCACACAGCTGGATGATAGAGATGAGATGGATCTGACTGAGTATGGCTACTCATACCGCATGAAGTGTTTACAGCTTTGGAAAGGCTGTTAGAAGTGAATTTAATGCCAGTTGAAGAGGCCGGATTGATAGCGTTACAATCCAGAGTCTTCTATAAATCCATAGAGCAGAGAAAAAGCACCAGAAATTATTGACAGCGTTTTTGCTACCCTGTGAAACAAGTCCTTAAATGCAGGGGTTGGCTCTAGAGACAAGGCAAAATTCATATCCATGGCCAGTCAATTCATTCTCGGCCTCTCTTACAATCCTTAATGGATTTTGAGAACCTGGTTTTGGAAACTAAATAGTAAGAAACCTAGGTCTCGTATAGCAACTTGTTAACAAATAACAAAAGAGCTTTATGGCATCATTTCCCCCTTCCCTTGTGCAGATAGGGAAATTGGGGAACAAGGAAAGGAAGTAATTTGTCCAGAATCACTCAAACAGGACACTTGCATTAGTAGAAACCTTGTTTCACTCCGATAGACCAGCTAACTTTCCCATAGATCTCCGTATTTATTTCTGAACAACCTTCAGGGGAATAAGAAAGCTTGAAGCTCATCTACAATAAGGTAGGTTGTGCCTATTACTTAGCTTACATCCTGCAAGGAGTGTCCCTCCTTTACACCCCTTTTGAGGGCTGCCTCGAACATCAGTCAATGCAAGAAACCAAAGGATTAATACGGCAAAGAAAAACCTAGCACATCCTTTTTTCCCCCTCATTCACTGTGGAGCAAGTGAACACAAATACTATCCCATCAAGCTTTTCAATAACCTTGCTGTGCTGTCAGTAAATCTTCACTGCCTATGACATTTCACCCTGGAAGATTTGATAGCGACACTTTTGACTAGTTTTATGCCCATCTAGACTGCACAGTATTATAGCACAGGAGAAAGGCTTGCATCATGACAAACTTTCATGATTATGAGCAATATCTAGGCAATAGACTTTTCCTTTATGGATCTACTCTGGGAACTGTCAATGAAATCCTTCTAGTTCAAGCTAGGTAGTTTTGATCACCCTTTAAAGTGTCTTAAAAAGTCCAATTTCTTTGTCAAGGTTCTGAGAGAGGGGCAGGGTGGGGAGGGAGAGGAGGCAATTTCGCAAGAAATACAGTATTAGTCCAAAACCCATCAGTCATTATTATGAGACAAGCCGTGAGAATAGGATGGCTGAAGTCTATTAACTGCTTACAAGATTGATAACATGGTAAAATGTAAAGGGAACTGTACATTTCCAATCAGTTTGTCCATCTTTTAAACTTCTTGTAACACCACTGATTGTAGAAAGAGAAGCCTGATGTGAATGGGCAGAGGTTTCGTTTACAAGCTGTATTTTGCATTTATGATCCCATAACCAAAGAGAAAGATAACTATATATTTGCACGTTCAAGTGAGCGGCAGCACCTACGTAGTCAGCTCTGGAATTCCTCTTTTCATTAGTCAGGAAACGGCTGCATGAAATGTATGAGCATTCCTATACATGCCTAGGAAACCCAAAATATAATATTCCTTCAAATTAAAATAACCCCCCCACCCTCTCCAAAAAAACCTGCTGTTTTGTTAAGATGGGCTCTAAAAGGCTTACTGTCTTCCATAGTAAACCTATCCTAAACCCAGTTCTGAGACGAAGCCAACTTGGAATATGGTGGCACTTCCATAATTCAGAGTAGTTTAATTGAATTTCTCTCTGCTTTTCATGCAATCACAGCTAGGAGTATTTATTCTGCTCTTGGCATTTAACCACTAAAAGATGTGGACAAAGAGAGATATCAGAAAATTAATGAAGAAATGGAGAAAATGTCTGCTGAGAAAGGTTAAGAACCAAGGGCAAAATCTTGGCCCCACTGATGTCAGTCATGAAGCAGACAAACGAAACAAAAGGAGGTAGAAATAGGATGACTAAAAGGCAAGTTTAGATTACAAGTGAATCAGACTGGGCTCTATTAAGCTATAGAAGTTAACAATATTCTAGCATTAAAAACCAGACGGCACAAAGGAGTCCAGAAAAAGACAAGACTTTAACATCACGTTTAAATGACACGACAATTTTTTCTCTGCATCAAGAAGTGAGAATGCAGCACTCACTGGCCCCTGCTACACGTTACATATATTATGCAATAAACTGGTTAATGGCACGATAAATTTAGACTGGCCACATTTGCAAAGTAATTTTCACACGATAAAAATAACTATCCAGCTATAAAGAGAGCCAATCAGCTATAAATTAGTGCTTGAAAATGTCTAACAACTCTATAGCTGGTTTCTATCCAGCTTAGGTTTGAACCTGTAGCAGAGCCCATTATTGCTCGAGATACGAAAACCATTCTGTTTTACAAATACTAAGAGGACAGGTTTCGTGGTTAAGGCACTGGAGTACTGGTTTCATCTCATCTTTGCTACTGACTGCAACATCTCAGAATTCATTTTCCTATTGCTCCCTCCTACCCACCCAAATAAAACTGTGGGCATAACTATTAGGGCTGTGTGAAGCTTCAGTCCCCGATCCGATCTGGTAGAGATTTGGCTCGATTCAGTGGCCGAATCTCTGAATCCGAATAAGAGGACCCTTTAATATCTCCAAATTGATTCGGAGAAATTTGGACAGACACAGCCAATCGCCCAGCCGGGGAAGGGATGTGGGGGGGCCCCCTCGCACGCTCCCCGGCAGACCTGGAAATACTTCCGGTCCACTGCCGAGCACATGGAGGGCACCCCCCACGCTCCTGTGGGACGCTCCATGCGCCCCAGTATCGCAGTGTTCACAAGCTGCGCTGGTACCTGGAGGTAGGTAGAAAAAACATTTAAAGCTGCGTCTGAATCGCTGATTCTCCAAATCAGCACCGAATCTTCAGGCTCAGATTCAGCCAAATCGAATCTGGGACAGTGATCTGAATCAACAAATCAAATCACTGTGCCTGATTCGGGCCGAATCCGAATCGAATAGGGCCCGTTTCACACACCCCTAATAACTATGTTATCACTGCCCTGTTTCAGGAATATATCCTGAAATGGGTAAAGCACTTTAACCTTTGAAACGCATCACGTGACCTAAGAAACTCCTATGCTTCAAGTCTAAATTGCTAGCTGAAGATGTCCAAAAGATTTAAGCTGCCTGATTTATCAGATATGTTGACCAATACTAATTTAAAAGAGTCTTACACTGAGTTTAGTCTTAGAAGCCATGTCCATTTAGGGGAAAATTACAGAAGACAAAATACAGCCATTCCATTATAAAGAAATATCAGTCTGCTCTTAATCATTCAAAGCACAACAGTGATAATAAAATGGTCGTTTCCCTGCATAGAAAAATAACTTAAGCCTGCCTCTTAAATGCTTCTACGTGGTATCTCTTATATTTAGGTCTAACTTGATAACTTCACACATTCATAATTTGGCCATCACCAGCAGGACAATGGCCACCGTGCTCCCCCTGCTTTACCTGTGGCAGGTTGGTGCGGTCTTGTGTTGTGTCAGGGCTGACTCTAATTTTGCTAAAAGGTTAGACAATGGATCTGCATAGGATGCTTTGGATAGGAATGATCCTGCCTCAGGCACGGCGTGAAATGGATCCAGCCCTAGATCTCTTACGATTATTATTCACTTCTGGGAGGTAAAGGAGAGTAAAGTAACTTGAATTGCTAAAGAATTTAGTTATATTACAAGGTCTGGAAATATGAATTCTAAATTTAATTTTGTCCCCGATTCCTTGCCAGATTGCTGACAAGTCCACCTGACATCTCTGAAATGGGGGTTAATGGCATTTGCCTGCTTCATACTAGCCTTGTAAGGGATATTGGGAGAAACACGAAAAATAGCTGGTGATGGCATTATGCATAACACCAAGACTTGACACTGTTTGGCCCAAGGATTAAACCCATCAACTGGGATGAAAAATACCTACATGGCCTTGCCACTTAATCTACAGTAATAAATCGTGTTCTACGCTGCACACTGTATTTAATTGTAACATTGTCAATCAGTTTACTGCCTTCATTCCACTTTCTCACTCCTTTTCCTACAAGGGTAGTTACCTTTGCCCACCCCCCGTGTTATTTCCTTTTCACTCCCCATTCATAGCTCTGAACTTACTAAAATCTTTTCTTCTGTATTTTGTCCTTCCCTTTCCTCCCTTCACAATCTCCCTGTTTACATCATACTTCCAAAACTACACTTCTGCACACTCCTATCCCCTCCCCACACCCATTTATCTCCACCCGCTATGGCTTTATCCACCACTGATCCAGGAACCAAAAAACAACAAGCAGCAAATGTTTTTGCCTTCAATAAAAACCAAATAGCTGCAACAACATTCACTTAAAACTTAAAGCAGACTAAAAACATTTGCCAGGACAAATACTTCAAATTAAAGAAACTTAACTAGTGTGTATCCTTTCATTTGCAGAATCTTAAAAACTATATACACTTCAGGAATTATATGGGATGTATGTTTAAATTTAGGTTGAAATGTCAAAAATGATCAAGTAAAATAGACTGCTCTTCTGGAATATAAACGTATTAGCACAATATAAAAAAAAGGTCAAGCACACTGCATAAAAATATACAATTACGTTTTATTTTGTACACTTGACAACTTGTATTATTTGATAAACAGATCGATGCACTATCCTTGATGGTTTTAAAATAATTTTGGGTTAACGCTTCAGTTTTAGACTCATAGAAATTGTGTTTTTCAAAGATCTGCTACTTTCTTCTGGATACTTAATGAGAAAGGCAGTGAGTTTTGTACAAGCGATTCCACTGAGAGAAACAACGGTTTTTATACTGTAAACATGATCCCAATGACTTACCAGCCTCTTTAATTTCTGAAGACGAAAGGACTCCTACTATGCAAAATACCCACTCTGTATTCAAAACTGGAGAGCAATGAGTCACCCCAGCCTTTAAGAGGTGTTTTCAAGGTGAGAGAAGATAAATGAGATTTTCCTATTTGTGGGGGTGGGGGAAGCTAGAAAAAATGCACAATTTTCAAGAACAACTTTTGTTTCACTGTTTCATAGTGAAAATGGTTATATCCAACTATCAGCTTTGGAATGAATGTTGACAAAGCCACCTAGCTGTGTCTCGCTTATTTTGCAGGAACTTCTTAGGTGAGAGAAGAGCTACAAATCTACTCAGAAATCGAACTCAACATCATCAAATTTTCAACACCACAGCTGACGGTCATAGAAGAAACATCTGCTAGATTGTTTAAAAGAGGAGAGTTTTTTCCAGTGACAGAAGCCATTTGGATAGTGATAGGTTCAACGACAAAATTGCCGTCTCTCTGGTGTCTTCTTGTTAACCTGTTTGAAGATTTTCGCTTTGTGAACGCTTTTGGGTTTCTGGTAACCAAATCCTCCACCTCCGCCTCTTTTTTGCAATCTTTTGCCTTGGCTGCTGTTCACGTCTGGAAGATTTTGGTTAAGGAAGGTTGACAACATATTTTAAATCAAGTTACATGCTGCATATTTCAACACTATTCAAAAGGAACATTTTTCTCTAACATGGATGGTATTTTACAAAATAAAGCGTATTTGCTGCAAAGCTGGAGGAAATCTCTTAAAACTTAACTAGCTCCCATTATTCCATTTAATGTCGTCTACTATTCTTTCTTTCCAGTCTTAATTTGATTTCATTTGACTAGGACCAAAGTAAAGCTGTTTTGGGAATCAACTCTTTTCTTGAGACAGTCCTAATACTTTCTGTCCCCAGCAAGATAATATTCAGCCACTATTACATTTACGTATATACTGGGCCTGTGCAAAGTGTCAAGTATTCGCTTCAGATTCAGCCGATTTGGAGGGATGGTGATTTAATTGGGTGATTTGAGTCGCTGACACCAGGGGAGCCTAGCTGCAGGCTGCTGCAGCAGGGGGGAGGGATGCGCCAGGATCACAGCCGGCCCAGCACAGCACACGGGTTTCTTTTGACTGCATAGCGAGACCCCCACAGTGCAGAAGGGAGCAGATTTGTGGCAGGGCATATCATTCACCCCTGCCCCACTCCCTGCTGCACTGTGGGTATTGCTCCATGACCCGGCCCAGCCAGAGCCCCATTCATGTGGGGCAATGGGAGCCCAGTGGCTCGTCCAGGGGTGTGGGTGGATGACTCCTGCAGCTGTGCGCACCGTGGGGGGAGCCAGGGAAGGGGTGCACATTTGTTTCCCTTCCTCTGGCTCCCCCACACCATGTCCCTGGACAAGCCACTGGGCTCTGATTGACCCATGAGCCGGCCCAGCCAGGGCCCTGTTCATGGTGAATGGGGCCCCGGCCAAGTCGTGGGAAAATCAGAGTCCGTGATTCCTCCAGAGCCACGGCGCAGGGCAGCCAAGAGGGTGGGGGGGCCGTGGCCCCCTGATCTTTGCACAGGGCAAGGGTGGGCTGCAGCTGTGCTCTGCCTGCTCCCCACCTCCGTGCCTCATTGTAGCCTTTGAAAGCGGTGCCATGTGCCTTGCTGCCTGGCCTGCTCAGTGGCAGGACGCACATGGTACTGCACCACTTTCGAAGGCTCCAGTGAGGGGCGGAGGAAGGGAGCAAGCAGAGAGCAACTGTAGTCTGCCTTTGCCCAAGGCAAAGATTGGCTCCCTGGCGCCGCGGCTCTGGAGGAGCCACTAGACTCTTCCTGGGGTAGGGTGGGCATGGGTGTCCTGGGGGCTCCATCCCTTCTGGCCTGGCAGCTTTGCTGAGGGTGGTTCCACTCGAGCTTTAGGCCCCACCCAGGCAGTGCGGGACTGAGGCTGGGCCAGGGCCGAGAGGTGGGAAGCTTGTCCCAGCCCCAGCCTGTCCCTCCCTCGTTATGGGGGTGTTATTCTGCACCACCTTCCCACCACAGATTTACTAGCTGGAAGCAGCTGTGTCCAGCGTGGTGAGAACTGCTGCCTGTTTAGTCTATGGCCAAATCTCCAAAATGGCGCCGAAACTTTTCTGAATCGATTCAGACCTTTTAATTGGTCTCCCGATTCGATTCTCCCCCTCTATGCGACGCTGGTCAGGCCGCAGCTGGAGTATTGTGTCCAGTTCTGTGCGCCCCATTTCAGGAGGGATGTGGACAACATGGAGAGGGTCCAGAGGAGGGCCACCCGCATGATCCGGGGACAACAGGGCAGACCCTACAGTGAGAGACTGCGGGACCTGAACCTATTCAGCCTCCACAAGAGAAGGCTGAGGGGGGACCTGGTGACCGTCTATAAACTCACTAGGGGGAACCAGAAGGGCTTGGGGGAGACGCTGTTTCCCCTAGCCCCCGCTGGCATAACAAGGAGTAATGGGCACAAGTTGATGGAGAGGAGGTACAGATTGGACATCCGAAAAAACTACTTCACAGTTAGGGCGGCTAGGAGCTGGAACCAACTTCCAAGGGAGGTGGTGCTGGCCCCTACCCTGGGGATCTTTAAGAAGAGGCTGGATACCTACCTGGCTGGACTCATTTGAGTCCCGTTTTTTGTTTAGGGTTCTTTTGTTGTTCTCCCGCCCTGGCGGGGGGGCGGGCTAGAAGATCTATTAGGTCCCTTCCGACCCTAAAACTATGAAACTATGATTCGGAGATTCAGCAACTGAATTGGGCCAAATCTCCTCCTAATCGAATTTGCACAGCCCTAGTATAATACCACCTTATTGTACAAATCATGCTGGGGGAGTGGGGGGTGGGGAAGAAGAGACTCTAAGTGTTTGCCTATCCCACTTCTGTGCCATGCCCAGGACAGGGGGCCTAAGAGTTGCCCTTAGGGGGTGCCTAGCGGCACTCTAAGATGGCTGTACCACCTTAGGTCCCAAACTTGGCACATGGACTACGGTGTCCTTCTTTGTGAATGCAAATAAGAGCAGGGAAGACACGCCCCAACACATACATACAGCATTCCCAGATGCACAAAATATGCAAAAATTAAAATGCAATTATATTTGTATCTGTGGACAAATATTAAAACTAGCCAAACTGCTGGGTAAGTTTTGATAAAACCACTCCCTTTGAACTTGTTGACATGTTTAAATGATTAACAGCAAAATTATGGGCTTGCACCTACTACATTCCTCAAGAAAGTACGTTGGCAATTTTAAGCAGAACAACAGAAGGATACGGAGATCAACAAACGGAGGGACTTTGAAGCCAAAAGAAAGGCAAACTTTGGGTAGATCCAGGTTATTGACATTGTAGATATGCTTCAGGGAATGGGAGTCATAAGCTCTAATGTATGCTTTGTATGCTTCCTGGGCTGACTTGTGAAGAAAGTAGTTCTTCTCAATCAATTTCTCCAGCTGGAGGGGGGGAGAAATAATGTATCCAATTATGGTTACAGTAGGTTCAAATTGCACAACAAATCAAGTTATCTGAATTTAAGTTGCAATGAAGACATATATTTCAGTAAAATAGCCCTTATGTTTATGAGCATTTTGCAATCTCAGTGTTGAGCAGAGAGAAAAAAATAAAAAAAGATTTACATTACATTGCCTCAGTATCTCGACAAGTGTTACAAAAATAATGAATTACATTGTTTTAATATAGTCTTTTTAGATTATTTTTATTTTTAAAAGTAGATACAACTGAAATTGAGAGTTGTCTGACAAATTAAAAATTAGCCTAGAGACAGTTGTATATTGCCAAGCTTCAAAATACTAAAAGCAGGCAATAGTTATTTTTAACGCAGCGCACACCTAAATTTTCTCTTTAAATCAGAGGATTTTACTAATCACAACTGCCAAGAACACAAAATCCCTACTGTGCTATAGCACTGGGTTTAAACACATGTGCTTTGACCTTTAACATGCATTAATTCACCATATTAAAAATATTATTCACTACTTTCAAATTATTCTTAACGATGGGTAACTCCCTCTGCAGCGGTTTTAAGAGCCTTTACTTAAGTAGGATTTAAACACACACAACCCTAATGGTGCTGAATTTTTCAAATATAAGCTATTTAGCAACTTTACAGACCTTCCACAAAAGGAATGATTCATATTTAATAACCATAAAAAATGTGAAAGAGACTGCATAATTCTAGAAAAATGCCAAGTTCCAAACATGCTGCCATATTAGGTGTTTCCCATTTATAGTAAAAATGACACATTCTTATGAAAACAAAGGCACTACTTTTCTGAAATTTAATTTAGCTTAACCAGAACACAAACTGAACTATCAACCCAGCTGACCATCCAGGTTAAAGAAAAGAAAGAAAACACATTACACTTTGCTGGGTCAGGATTTCAAATCAAATGAGAAAGGTTAAGAAAAATCTGGCTGCT